ATTGAGTCTATGAGTGCATCATGTTTTATCAATTCCCTGCGGCGTTTCTTTGCAATCAGAGGCCCCGCTAAGATCTTGAGGTCTGATTGTGGAACCAACTTTGTGAGAGCCTGCAAAGAGCTACAAATTGACAAGCAAGGTTGCCACAACACAAACATCCAAGCTTACCTATCTGATAATCAATGCTGCTGGCAGTTCAATCCTCCACACGCTTCACATATGGCAGGATCCTGGGAGCGTATGATTGGAGTTGCCCGACGTATCCTCGATGCCATGCTACTTCAACACAGCCCTGCAAGACTTACACATGAAGTTTTAATAACGTTCATGGCAGAAGTGAGTGCAATTGTGAATGCTCGTCCCTTAACTACAGTCTCTACTGATCCAGAACAACCAATGATACTAACACCAGCAATGCTGCTCACGCAGAAAGTAGGAGCCCCACCAGTACCACCTGGCCAATTTGAAAACCACGATTTATGCAGAGCTCAGTGGCGTCGCGTTCAGTATTTAGCCAATGTCTTCTGGGGAAGATGGAAGAATGAATACTTGAGTGGACTTCAAGGACGTCGCAAGTGGCGCACAGCTAAGCCAAACCTACAGAATGGAGATGTTGTGCTTCTAAAAGATGCCCAGGAGAAAAGAAATGACTGGCCCGTTGGGATCATAACTAAAACTTACCCAAGTGAGGATGGCAAAGTCAGAAAGATTGAAGTAAAAATCATAAAGAAAGGTGAACAAAGATTCTTCCTGAGACCAGTCACTGAGGTTGTTCTTCTGGTTTCAAAGGACACAAATTAAGGTGGCTTAACGATCTGAATGTTGACGACTTTGTTACTGTTCCACAAGTCTGATGTGACATCTGTTGATGTCAGGCGGGGAGTATTCTGGCCTTGGTTATATTATAGTTTACTTTGTTAATACTGACACCTTGTGGTCACTTTAAGTAGTACATCGCCTTTAATAATATATCAGCCATTTTGGATTCTAGAGCTCATGGTGCAGAGTGTAGAGATGCATCCACGTCCATCCTTCTTGTTTCGCTCTTGAAAAAGGCACAATCTGTAAGTTTAAAGACTAATCTAAGTGGTAAAATATGATTACATGTATTCTGATAGGTTATAGACATGTTTGAGACCGATTTACATGTGATCTGTTAAATGTAACCCATGGCACATAATTGTGATGCTTGATTGTTTCTACTTCTTAGTACAGCTATCTTCTAAGTTATGTAAAGGTGATTTATGTGCATCTTAAATGTTGTTTTGATCTATGTGAACTGAATGTAATATTGTAAGATATACTTTTTTGATATCATTGTTCATTTGTGTTACAGTTTCACAAATTGGGCTTCAGTAAAGAAAGTTTGACCCTGACAACTGTCTACGACTTTTACTAAGCCTTTGTTTAACTCGCTGCAAAAGCAAACACAAGCTGAGGGCAGAAGATCTGTTGTGGAGCGTCTGGTAGCCGCTCCGTAGAGGGGGGGTTATGTCACAGTGTCTGGTTGTGTTTTCACTGGGTGTCCACTAGAGGTCCCTTCCTTCCTGTATCCATTCACTCTAGAACCACATTTCCCATAATCCTTGTTTGTTCCCATCACTTGTGATTGCACCCAGCTGTTCCCATTTATGTTGTTAGTGTCTGTGCATAAATACCCTGTCTGTGTTAGTTCATGTCACGGAGTCATTGTATTGTATGTCACTCGTCAACGCCAAGGTCTGTTTCAAGTCTGTTTCTCGTTTGTTCTTGCTTGTTTTGTTTATTTGTTATTCGGACGGATTAAAATGGTTTTCGACACTGGCACGGATGTGTATGATTCTGACTATTTGGATTACGACTCTTGCATGGATGACGATGATTTGGATTGCCCTGACTATCATGTTGCTGCTTTTGGATCCACCCAATTCTCCGCTAGCGATCGTGACAGTTGATTACTTACAAAGCACTAAATGGTTTAGCTCCCCAGTACTTGAGCGAGCTCTTAATGCATTATAGTCCTTCACGTCTATTGCGATCTCAAAATTCCGGCCAGTTGATAATACCTAGAATATCAAAATCGACTGCTGGCGGTAGATCCTTTTCCCTTTTAGCACCAAAACTCTGGAACAGTCTTCCTAACATTGTCCGGGAAGCAAACACACTCTGTCAGTTCAAATCTAGACAAAAAACACATCTCTTTGACCTAGCATACACATAACACATTCTAAACTTATATAATTCAATGTTAGGCTGAATAGATTAGGTCAACCAGAATCGGGAACACTCCCCATAAATCCTGATGTACTCGTTACATCATAAGAAGAATGGCCTCTACGCTAATATTAGTCTCTCTGTTTATCCCGAGGTTTACTGCAGTCCGCCGGATCCAAGCCGTATCCAGATCTGATGAAGGACCTGCGCCTGGACATGACGACAACGCAGTCCTGAAGTGTCAACTAGTCTCTCCCCTGTGAAGGCCCCCTTCTCCTTCCCTTTACCTCTGTACAGATAAAACGTTGTCAAAATAGTCCCGGTTCACATGGGTACTCGGAAGCGATAAATAATTCTGCGAATGAGCGGGCCGGAGCGCGTTAAGGGTTTTCTGTTAGAACGGTGTCGTGTTAGCGGCCCCTAAGTTAATAACTGATGATCTTTGCAACGGAAGTGAATCGATCAAAACTAACTTTAGCTGGACAATAACTTTATTCTAGAGCTGCTGTAAAGCCAATACAATCACCGTTACTTTAATTTCCTATTATCACTGTAAAGCTGCTTTGAAACAGTCCATATTGTTAAAAGCGCTGAAGGTGACTTGACTTGACTTGACAGGGCTGGATTGAAGTATTTTTAAAGGATTTCAGAATGTTGCATGAAGTTGCCTGGGATTTTATTGAGTTACTTATGTTGGTTTTGAGAGTAGCTATGCGAAGAGTAAGAATATTTCTGTCATGACAACTTTCAGAGTGTTTGGCATGGTATGGATATGACAATGTTGATATGTTTGGTCTTGGTGGAATAGATCTGCTATACTGCTGCTGCAGCAAAGTAAATTCGGGATTTGTTACTGCCAATACATACATGCTGCTGTGAGCAAGTAAGAGTAAGCAAGTACAATATTGCATTTAGCATACATGAATTACCAATAGAAGATCTATGCAGGTGGAGCTGAGGAAGGTGGAGGGTTACTGAAAGTGCTGCAAACTTCTACAGCACACGCTGACCAAGTGTTTAAAAGTTGAGCAGCAAACTTATTAGCTTAGAGCAGGAATCAATCAGCTGTGCCATAGAGAATAATGTGATTGCAAGAAGATTGAGTTAAGGACCATAGATTGGAGTCTGCGCCATCTAGAGTTTCATGACAAAACTTTGTATTAATTTATTGCAATAATGCCAACCTGCTTTATAGTGGACCGATTAGAAAATGTAAAAAGAAAAATGTCCAAAACAATTGATGATTTTGGTCACAAACACAACTTACGGTATGTTGTTTTGTGTCATTGTGTTATTGTGCCATAACTCTGAATGCTGAAAGAGACAGCAGGTCAGTATTAAGTGACAAACATCCAAATTCTAAAATTGTTTTTGGAGTCTGTAAATACACTCCTGTTCAAAAGTTTGGGGTTATGTTTTATTTTTATTTTTTATTAATACTTTTATTCAGCAATTATGATTTAAAGATCAAAAGACATTTACATTGTTACAAAAGATTTCCATTTCAAATAAATGCTGTTATTTTAAACTTTCTATTCATCAAAGAATAAAAAAAAATCATGGTTTCCACAAATATATTAAGCTGTAAAACAGTTTTTACATTGATAATGGAACTGTGTTGTGGCTGTGCATGACAACAGAGTAAGAACAAAAACAGTCTTTAATATAATTCACACAAAAAAAAAAGCAGGAGATCGCATAGATAACAAGCAATACTGAACAAACAATACTGAACAAAGGAACTGAGGAAACACAGAGGTTAAATAACCGGCTAAACTAATGAGTTAGCTAATAGAACAACAGATGAACAAAATCAGTAATAAACACACTAGAGCTGTGTCCCAATTCAGAGGCTGCATCCTTCGAAGGACTCGAAGGTCGGCCAGAGCATTGCTAAATGGGACGGTCTATCCTATGGAGGACTGTTCTTGTCGCCTAGCAACTGTGACAGCTGCCATTCAGTGACTGTAACGTTTGTACGGGACATTACATTAAACTATCTGAAAACAAAACAGGGTTCAACAAGCTGTCTAAATATGTTCACCTTGGTCCATTTCTGTTAATAATAAATAGTACAAACTACAGTGTAATCGCATCCCAGTAAGATATGTCAACATTTGAACCGCTTTAAAGTTTTTTTTATTTATTTGTAACATTTGTATCATTATATATTTGAGAAAAATTGAAACCCAATATTTAAAAGTGTGATTTGGCAATTTTAAAAAAAATTCAGTAGTCACTGGTGTGCAATGAATTCTGTATAGGTAAGGCCACCAAGGATTCATCTGTTGTATCCTTAATTTCACGGGAAACAAAGGACGCATTTAAAGGAGCCTTCGAATGGGACAGCCTTTGTCGCGCAGGGGTAACACAATCGGCCTTCGAATGCGGCCTTCCAAGTATGCAGCAGTATGAATTGGGATGCAGCTTAGGAAACTATGTCAGGGAACATATGACAGGGAAACCGTCAAAACAAAATCCTGACAGATAATAAAAATGAATGTTTATTAGAATGCATATTAAAATGATGTCTAAAGGATCATGTGACACTGAAGACTGCGTAATGGCTGCTGACAATTCAGATTTGCCATCACAGGAATAAATTACAATCGAAAATATTTTAAAATCGAAAACAGTTCAAACACAATGTTTTTTTTGTTTTGTTTTTTACTGTATTTTAGGTATAATACACTTCTTTCAACATTAACAAATCTTACCGACCCCAAACCTTTGAATGGTACTAGTGTATATGTTGTATCTGTTGCCACCATAACGCATGTTATTAGTGAGTATTCACACAAAATTACCTTTTGTATGTCCATACTTGCTTGGGTACTTCAGTTCTGGTGGCGCGTCATTGTAAAGCATATAGACTGAGCTGTTGGACTGAAAAGTAAAAGTACAGTATATGTGTGCAGTACAGTGTCATTACAGTGTTATTAATGCACAATACAGTATAACACCAGTGAAAGAATTAAAAAAAATTGAAGTGCCTCTTAATAAACATTTGAAACAATCCTTAGGAACAACAAGGAGCAATGATAGTATTCAAAGAGCTTCTTACTGTATATCCAGAGTAAAGCTGTGTCAATGTTCTGCCTAAAGCTCCTTTGCTGCTGTTGACTATATTTTTACTCATCTGAAAATCCATGACGGACGGATCCAGATACATGTAATCTACTCCACTTCCCTTAACATCCATCTTGTAAATGGGAAGTTTGTAAATAATAAACCTTTTAAAATAATATAAGAGAGTTACAATGGCAAAGAGTAGTTAAACATTGCTGTACATAACACTTTACAGAGACTAAGATTATGTCAACAGCAAATGAGTTATCATTAACAAAGCTTAAACCCGAAAGCAAAGATTTCAACCTACCAGTCAACCGGCTGACCATTCTCATTTAAGCAGGATATCACTGCCTCTGAGAAACCGATCAAAAACAACAAGATACACACACAGAGTTGAAACAACATGGACATTTCAATCTGTTATTCAAAGCGAACCAAACATTTCCTGTTTAAATTACAACAGAGAATGACGTTTTCAGTCGTATTACGAGCTGAGAAATCTAAACAGCTATTCTAATTTAAGAAAGAGGAAGTTTGTCTCATGACCGATATTACGCAGCTGTAATCTAGAGACAGAGAGGCAGTCTTAGTTTTCTCTGCATATGGAAGAGACTGGGAAAATCTGTTTGTTTAGAAATGTAGAATCAGAAATCTGACTGTTTAGAAATCTAGAATTTATCACTAAACTGTGTAAATTAATGTCAAGTAGTGAGTGATTTTGTTGATAGTCTACCCCTCTACCAGGGTGAGTTATTTATTATTATTTATTATTTTGGGCATTCATTAAATTATTTAAATTATTTATTTACAAATGGACCCTGTAAAGCCAGACATATGAAATAATAGTCATATGCGGTATATTATATATATATAAAATTTGTCTAAGCTTTACACCTGTCCAACTGCTCGTTAACACTTAATTTCTAAGCAGCCAATCACATGGCGGCAACTCAGTGCATTTAGGCATGTAGACATGGTCATGACAATCTCCTGCAGTTCAAACCGAGCATCAGTATGGGGAAGAAAGGTGATTTGAGTGACTTTGAACGTGGCATGATTGTTGGTGCCAGAAGGGCTGGTCTGAGTATTTCAGAAACTGCTAATCTACTGGGATTTTCACGCACAACCATCTCTAGGGTTTACAGAGAATGGTCCGAAAAAGAAAAAACATCCAGTGAGCGGTAGTTCTGTGGGCGGAAATGCCTTGTTGATGCCAGAGGTCAGAGGAGAATGGCCAGACTGGTTCGAGCTGATAGAAGGGCAACAGTGACTGAAATAACCACTCGTTACAACCGAGGTATGCAGCAAAGCATTTGTGAAGCCACAACACGCACAACCTTGAGGCGGATGGGCTACAACAGCAGAAGACTCCACCGGGTACCACTCATCTCCACTACAAATAGGAAAAAGAGGCTACAATTTGCAAGAGCTCACCAAAATTGAACAGTTGAAGACTGGAAAAATGTTGCCTGGTCTGATGAGTCTCGATTTCTGTTGAGACATTCAGATGTTAGAGTCAGAATTTGGCGTAAACAGAATGAGAACATGGAACCATCATGCCTTGTTACCACTGTGCAGGCTGGTGGTGGTGGTGTAATGGTGTGGGGGATGTTTTCCTGGCACACTTTAGGCCCCTTAGTGCCAATTGGGCATCGTTTAAATGCCACGGCCTACCTGAGCATTGTTTCTGACCATGTCCATCCCTTTATGGCCACCATGTACCCATCCTCTGATGGCTACTTCCACCATGTCACAAAGCTCTAATCATTTCAAATTGGTTTCTTGAACATGACAATGAGTTCACTGTACTAAAATGGCCTCCACAGTCACCAGATCTCAACCCAATAGAGCATCTTTGGGATGTGGTGGAACGGGAGATTCGCATCATGGATGTGCAGCCGACAAATCTGCGGCAACTGTGTGATGCCATCATGTCAATATGGACCAAACTCCCTGAGGAATGCTTCCAGCACCTTGTTGAATCTATGCCACGAAGAATTGAGGCAGTTCTGAAGGCAAAAGGGGGTCCAACCCGTTACTAGCATGGGGTACCTAATAAAGTGGCCGGTGAGTGTATATATACCGGTATATATATAAATGGAACAGTTTATTAAAGCTAATTAGACAAATTGTGCCTTTCCTTTAGTGTGTATAGCTGTTTTTGCTTGCAAAGTTACAAAGCACAAAGTCCACACAAAGACAGTTAATTCCTACAACAAAACATTTTCCTCAGATGCTTTGTTTGTATTCCTGCCATTATTTCTGTTATGCTACATCACTATGTGACACATTTGCATAATGACCATCTGCCGGCTGGGCTACTTTGCCTCGCCCTCAAACAAAGGTAGTTCTAAGACCAGAACAATTTTAGCCCAGAGCAAGACACATGAACTGACAGTCCACAAAACACCTCTGAAGCAGACGCCACTATAGTCAAGTCAAGTCAAGTCACCTTTATTGATTTAGCGCTGTTTACAATGCAGATTGTTTCAAAGCAGCGTTACAGTGATAACAGGAACAAAATGCAACAAAGTTTGTTTCTGAGGTACAGCAGATCTAGAAGAAAATAGTGTCATAGTCCAGCTTAAGTGAGTTCAGTGATGGTTCATTTTTGTTGTAAAAAAGTTATTAATTTAGTTCAGTTATATACATAGCCACTCTGGAGAAAACAGTGATGTCATCATCCAGCTCAGTTCAATTCTTATATAATGGTGTCTATGTAGGCAGATCAATAATATTGTTGAATATTAAGTGACACGCACATACATCTATATATCACACCTATATCATAACAATAGTCAGAATACTTTTATTTGTCACCGAGAATAATTTGTTTAGGCTGTTGGCATAAGACAACACAACATACAGGTTCTCTCGGCTTATGTTACTCTGTCTCTGAATTCCACACACATTTCCTATTCCTAAAACACTCTGTTGACACTAAGATATTACCAGCTCAGGCCTGTTTTTCTCGTTCCTCGAAAAAAAAATTGAACTTTGGTTGAGGGGTGGTAAAGGGAGCAGTAACTTTTGGCCAGATGAAATGTTGGGTTGTGGATGGGGTGGAGAAGGACGTGACTGTGGTCACTGAGTAAATTGAGAAGGACAGAGGAGAGAGGTGGCTTGTTTTGGAGGGTTATCAGCAAATCAGAATCTCTGTATGGAGGTGGGGAAGATCATTGATCATTTGGACCCATTACAAAACAATAAAACTGGTGCCTCCTTCAAAAACCTCCTCCAACCACTGGTGTAGTCAGCAGTGACTCCATTTACAATCATGGCCACTACCTCAAATCAGGTAAATACATTTCATTTTCATTCATACTGTAGATGTGTCATGCTAGCCTCTTTAAAAAAAAGAAAAAAAAAAGAAGCTTTTATACAGTATTATTTTATAATGTGTCTCGTGTAGAATGTGGAGTTTGTGAGGACGGGCTACGGGAAGAATACGGTTAAAGTTCTTCACATCCGTCGTGAAGGATCTCATCACCACATTACTGAGCTGATTGCAGACGTTCAGTTAACCCTGAAGACCCAAAAAGACTATCTGACTGGAGACAACTCTGATATCATCCCCACTGACACAATCAAAAACACTGTCCAAGCTCTTGCCAAAATAAAAGGAGTAGGTCTTTTTATTTGTTTAATTTCGCTCTTATAAGTGATTTGATTTATAGCTTTTTTCCCCCTCATATATAAATAAAAACTAAATAAAAGTAAAAAAAAAAAAAAAAAGTTTTTACGAAAATGATAAATGAGCCTAATTGGTTTTGATGAAGACAAATATTTAATATGTCTGAATCAACTTGATTTCATTAGGTTACACTAATATTAATAAATAGTATTTTTTCACGGTTAGTTCAGGTAAAAACTTATTTTTTTTACTTTTTACAGTGAATGCCAACCAGCATTAGTTTCGATAAATCAACAGAGATGTCGAATGTACAAAGTGTTCCATGAATTGGTTATTAAATCAACTCAATCATCTTGTAATTAAATAGCTGATGTTTAGTTGTTTTAAGCAATGTCTGTATAAGAATATTTCTTGTCTTGCAGATCAAGACCCTTGAGGGCTTTGCCCTGGATATTTGTGAACATTTCCTCACAGCATTTAATCATGTCACAAGAGTGAGGGTCAACATTGATGAAGTTCCCTGGAAGAGACTGGAAAAGGTGTTGTGTTACCGCTAAAGCATATATGCAGTGACTTTCAAAAACAAATGAGATATTTGTATATATTTTTCATCATTTAGTCAATCCCTTTTAATAAATCGGCTTACAAATGAGGAACATCACAAGCAATGAATTATACAAAAGTCAACAATATTCACAGTACTGCAATGTGAATAAGCAACACCTGTAACTGCGCCTGTATAAACTTAAATGGAACTTCATACATCCACTAAAAATGATCTTGACACCAGTCACTTACAATTCATAGAAAACATTACCTACAAAAGTGGTACATTTTAAGAAAAGCTCTAGGACAGATTTTTTTTGCAGATTTCATTTTGTATAATAAATGTTTGATTTATATGACTGATTCTTATTAAATGAATTGGTTTGCAATACATTAAAGTGACCAGTATGCTATAGTCGATTAACACGTTTTTTATATCCAAAATATTATGAATGTGTTTAACAGAATGGAGTTGAGCACACACATGCTTTTATCATCTGCCCTGAGGCCTGCCGCTTCTGTGAGGTCGAACAACATCTGAGTAGTGAGTAAAAATCAGATTCTGAACTAGTGATGGTGGTCTGAAGGAAAACAATTAAAGGAGTAGTTCACTTCAGAATTCAAATTTCCTGATAATTTACTCCCCCCCACGTCATCCAAGATGTTCATGTTTTTCTTTCTTCAGTCAAAAAGAGATTAAGGTTTTTGAGGAAAATGTTCCAGAATTTTCTCCATATAGTGGACTTCAACGGGAACCAACGGGTTGAAGGTCCAAATAACAGTTTCAATGTAACTTCAAAGGGCTCGACACAATCCCGGCCGTAGAATAAGGGTCTTATCTAGCGAAACGATCGGTCATTTTCTATTTGAATTTAAATTTATTAAAATTTTAAACCCATTTATTTAAACCCATTTAAATACCTTTTAACCACAAATGCTCGTCTTGCACGTCCACGACTGCACTCATTACGTAATCACGTTGGAAAGGTCAGGCGGTGACCTGAACTTAAAAAATGTTTAGGGTAGGGCAAAAAATTCCATCTCATTTTCTCCTCCAACTTCAAAATCGTCCGAAATCATTGGTTTACCTTTTATTAATTTTTTTTGTTTCACTTCGTCTTTGCACATTCGTTTTGTAAACACTAGGTCAGTACTTCTGCCTATATCACGCGTGACCTTTCAACATGATTACGTAATGCGTGGCGCATAGCAGTACTAGTGCAAGATGAGCATTTGTGGTTCAAAAGTATATTTATTTGTGATTGTAATGTTTTTTTCTTTTTAAATGACCGATCGTTTCAAGAGATAAGACCCTTATTCCTCGGCTGGGATCGTGTAGAGCCCTCTGA